CCCCCCCAGCCCTCCAGCCCGCCTCTCCGCACCTGCAGCAGCTCAAGCACAGCGACGGGCTGCAGGACACCATCATAGTGCTGCAGCAGGCAGCTCTCAGGGATGCCGGGCCTGCTCATGACGTGGAACAGCACAGCCTCCATCATGCCCTTACACACCGGCGTGTTCAGCTGGCCGTCCACGATGCGCCACGGGCGGCCGATGAAGCAGACGCTCTCACAGTCCCTGCAGCGGGCAGAGGCATCAGGCTCAGGAGGGGGGTGGGGGTGGCTCGCTCACATGGCTGGGGGTGGGGGGGCCCTAGCTCCACAGACAGGACCCTGAGGCTCAGGAGGCCCGGGGCCTGGCCCAGGTCACAGGGGTCCCCACCCCAGGGCCCACAAGCACCAGCTGAGAAAAGACTGTGAAGGGTCAATGGCCCCCATGTCCCCCACACTGGCATGGGAGGCAGGGGAGCTACGGCCTGGACCCTGGGCCAGCGGCTGCCTCCACCTTCAGGCCAAGCTCACAGAGGCCGGAATGCAGGAGCCCGACTTCTGTGTCGTATACAGGGGGCTTCACACACACAGTTTATCTCACAATACAGGTTTCTGCCAAATGCTAAATCAGTGACCGGTCTGCCACGCAGGGCCCGGGTGGGGGACAGGCCCCAGGCTGGCTGGCCACTTGGTTTTACCTCCAAGACAGGGCCCTGGGAGGACTGCCTCTGAGCTCTGGGGAGCCGGGACACACGGTTCCGTCACGCTGAGGGCAACGTGCACATGTGGGAGGCGCCCTCTCACCAGAAAGGCTCCTATGAAACCCGTTGCTTGAGACAAAGCCAGCGCTGCAAATGCTCAGCGCCCCTGGCCCTGCCCACGGCATGGAGGGGCACCTGCCCTGTCACCCAGTGAGTGGGTCACCCTAACAGTCCCACACATCCTCAGGTCCCCCCGCCAGCCAGAAGCACTGTGCTGGGGACACGGTCCAGCCCTGTTCCTCTGTGATCCTGTTCATGTGTCATCACTGTGGGGTGCCCCGCCAGGAACCCCGAGGACAAGCTGCCCCCGCTCACCGCCCACCAGCCCAGGCCTCCTGAATCTGAGTCACACACTCACTTTTCCCACGCTGCTTGGGAGGTGCTGCCAGCCACAGAGCTCTCTGCCGAACCTGAGAGGAGAGGGAAAGAACGTGAGAGACTTGACAAAGTGGGAGCCCGTCTCTTCCTCCTCCATTCATTCAACAAGTACTCCCGGGCTATGGGGACAAAGCCGTGAACAAAAGGACATCTTCATTCCTCATGGAGATGCCATCCTCAAGGCCCTGGAAGGGGGAGGGTGGCGGCCATGGAGTTGAAGCCAGCACACCCAGAACACGGCTGGGACAGACTGCGGTGTGTGTGTGTGGGGGCACATTCCCAGGGCCGTGAGGACCCTGCTGGGCTGGCGAGCGACACCTCATCTTCCATCTGGAAGCCCTGACCACAGAGCTATGTGAAGCCCTTGGGCGCAAAGAGCCCCCAAAACAAAGCACCTTGAGAAACCACCCACAGAGGCCACTGTCGAGAAGATGTGAGGACACACCGTAGGACGGGACAGGATGGGACAGGCTGGCTGGTCTCAGCTAGAGCCCTCCTGATGGGAGGCCCCGCCCATCCTGCCACTGCTCCCTTCCATTGGCCGCCCTGGAAAGCGCCACCTCCTAGAACCACCTCTGGTGTCCTGCACTGTGGCTCACAGCTCTGCCTGCCCTCTGGTGGAAACACCAAAGGTAAACAAGCAAATCTTTCCTCCTCCAGGTGGAGGCTCTGCAAAGTGGAGTAAAGGCCCCTGCTGACCAGCGGCAGCTTCCCGGGCTCGGAGGACCATCAGGCCCAGGGAGAGAGGATGGGCAGGTGGGGGAGGGGGGGGGCAAGCTTCTGTACCTCTGGCGTCCTCCGAGCCCTCTGGAAGCTGGGCCGGACAGCTCAGAGGCTCTCGGCCTGGGGAACCGGGTACCCTGATGCCATCTTGGTCCTCTTGCTGGGCTTCCGACGCGCCTGAAAGAGGCTCCTCTGCACCCGCATCTTCAGGAGCGATAGGCAGAGCAGGCGCTGGGATTCCTGTCCCCTCCTCCGCTCTGGGCCCGGGGCCGAGGCCCAAGCGCACGTCCTGGAGTGTGGGCCGCTTTGCCGGGGGTTTCTGGGCGCTCTCGGGGTCAGCCTCCACACTTGGACTGGCCGAGTCGGCGCTGGCCCAGCTGGCACGCCTCTTGCTGCCCTGGGAGCCCTGAGGAGGCGGTGCTTGCCTCTTGGCGGGGTCGTCCTCGCTGGACGGGCCCTCCGGAGGTCTGGCCTGGGGTTTTTCTCTCTGAGCATCAGTCTCCTCCTCTTTCTGTTTCAGCCGCACCGAGTGCAGGAGCCAGGGCTGGGCTGCGGCCACGGTCACCAGGCGGATGGAGTTGCCGCCCACTTCCAGCACCTGACGTTGCTCTAAGAGGTCCTAGGAAATACGGGAGACGTGCTGGGCGTGGGTGGGACCCCAGGGCCATCGCGGTGTGCTGCCCCTGCCTGATATGTTCCAGCGCCCTGAGCATGTGGCAAGCCCATGCTCATCGGAGCGGAGAACTCGAGGACGAGGCCGGGTTCCGGCCCCCGGGGCGGCCACCAGCTGGCCACGTGGCCTGGGGCAGCCCGTTCCCTCTCAAGGCTCTGTGCGTCTATTTGGAGAACAAGTCGGGTGCGTGAACTTGGGGCCACGGCTGCACCCTCGAAGCTGAGGTGACGTTCCAGGTCTCCTGCCCGGCCAGTATCCTCTCACAGGATGGCTATCAAGTTCTGCGAAAGCCACTGTCATGCCCACATGAGTGACAATCACTCCTCTCATATCACACTGGGCCTGGCTTCTTGGTCTCATCTGGGAGCTGCACCAACTCTGGGAGGCACATGGCCACTACCATCTTTCTTCTAATTTTTCTCTTAAAAACCCTCACGTCAGGGCTGAAGGAATTTGCCTGGAACCAGGCCTCATATCCAGGCCGTGTGGGTCGGGGGAGGGTTTGCTGGGGACTCTCAGCCTCTGGGCCTCTAGCCCTCTCACCCTGTGGGCGAGGCACCAGTGAACCGAGGGGGCTGCCTGACTGGTCACCTCCTGACAGTCAGTGGGCTCTGCTTCCTGGGTTCCGCTGTGTGGCCTGGGGGTGACCCCCACGCCTCACCTCCCCAGGCTCCACGTACACCAAGACTTTTACAAATAATCACACCCGCGGGCACAGCAGTTGCCAGTTCATCTTACTTCCTACACAACCAGCACTGTCTGCCCTCCCCTCCCACCTCGCGAGGATGCCAGGCAGGCGTCTCCACGACATCACTGCCGAGAGACAAGCACCCTGCTGCCTCCCACTGCCAACAGGGCGCAGGGCACCAGGCCCCGCCCCATTTGAAAGGTCCATCAGCTGCTGCATTCTCTGGGTTCAGGGGCACTGAAGCTGACAGGCCCTGGCAGGAAACGGGGTGAGTAAAGGGCTCTGGCCGATTGTGCTGAAGGAGCAGGGAGGGGAGGCTGGGTTTTAGGCAAAATCTCCTATTTTTAAATGTCACAACTAATTCAGTTTTTAAAAACATTACAGTCTGCCGCAAGCCAGGCCCCTCCGTGTGTGCACCTGGCCTGTGAGTGGCAGCTCAGGTGCTGGCTGCCCCAAGCTCCCCGAGGGCACTGCTCACCTGGACGTAGTCAGCAAAGGTCCTGGTGCGGTCCCCGTCAGCTGTCTCCCAGGCAGAGAACCGTCTGCTCAGCGCTCTCCTGTCCACCCCGAAGCAGCCGGCGGCCGCTATGACTCCCTGGACCTCCAAGGCGGCTGACACATCTCCAGGTTTATACCCGGACAGCGCCACCTGCTGGACGAACTCATCCAAGCTGCAGGCGTCCTCCTGGCTGTTGATCAGCCTGGTGAACGCGCCCGGCAGGCAGGACGGCAGGCAGGACGTTCCCACCGGCAGCTCTTCCAGAGAAGGGGCTGCAAGGACAGGGGAGCACAGTCAGGCTTGGCAGGAGCCCCCCGACACCCCTAACCTGGCCGTCGCACTCGCGATACTGAGGCAGGACATGCTCCAGTGTCAAACACCATCCACCTCAACTTGTAAAAGTAAAGTCAGTCAGAGGCAGGAAAGGGTGGGAAGGAGGAAGAGACGTGCAGGGAAGGGACAGGGCCTAACAGGCTCATTTTACGCAGAGGGAAGAGGGACTGCCTACAATCGAGGGTACAAGAAATGGAGGTTTAAGTCAGTTATTCAAAGTTTCAAAGGTCATCCATAGAAGAACTAAAGTAGAAAAATCAGGAGTAAAGGAGGTGAAAAGTAAATCAAAAGATAATATTTAAAAATGTCATAAAAACGCATCATTTAGTGTTACAAAAGGAACCACCAGAAGAACTAAAGACAGAAACAGTGACAAAGCTGCCGCTGAGCAGGCCAGGGCCTGGGAGCTAGGGGCCAGGCTGGAGGCCTGTGGCTGTTCCTCATGCCCCCCCAGGGACTGTTAACACCTGGACAGGTGACTGATGCAGCCCCGTGGCACACCGGGGACGCCCAGCGAGCGGGCCCCAAGGCAGGTGTGTGCACTCCTGGAGCCGCTTCCAGGTGGCAGGCCTTTCTCTGCCTTTGTTTCAGGCCGTCCGCTGTGGATCCGGCCTTGGCCTTGGGAGTGGGGAGGTAGGCACCGGGTCCTGGGGGCGGCTGGCCGGGGCAGCGCTCACCAGTGGGCCTGAGCTGGGTGGGTGCGGGGCTGTGGCGCAGCCGGAAGTTCACGTGGCAGGAGTTCACCACGATGTTGTCGTTGGGGTTGAGGTTGCGGGTGCTGACGATGCCAGGGGCGCAGTAGCCCCTCATCAGCAGGTAGTTGGTGTGCGAGGCTTGGGGGGCTTTCACCTCGATGCTCCGGCGCTTGCCCCCCGGGTCCTCATCTAAGTCGTCCTCCTCGTCCTCCTCCTCATCCAGGGCCCCGTCCTTCCCCAGGCTGGGAGAATAAAGCCGCTCTGGGTGACCGCGCCCAGGCCAGCCTGGCCTGTCCACTTCCCCATCCCTCCTGGAGCACACCATTGGCCTCAGCACTGCAGTGGGGCCTGAGCAGTGGCCTGCGCTCGCCGGATAGCCCCGGCCCTGGCTGTGAAGGTCAGTGGGGACCACCCCTCAGATTCTCCTTCACCCCGTGCCTCACACTCCACGCTCACCAGTTCACATTCCCGCGTCTTTGCAAGGACTGTTTGCCTAAAAACCCTTCCTGGTCTGTCCACAAAAGGCCTACTTCCTATTACACCCCAGTTTGGCTCTTACGCCTTCAAGGAGCCCTCGCCAACCCCATCTCCTCTGCTCCCCCTCCTTGTCACACTATACCGTGTCCTCTTCTTGGACACAGCCAGTCATGCCGCCTCTGCCCCCCCAAGACGGCCCCACACTGTGCATGGCATGGGAATCCCCAGGTCATAGGTGTGACAGGTCCCTCTTGGGGGCTCTCGGAGGCACTGCCCACGCTCTGTTGTCTGTACGGCAAATGCCCATGCGGCACCGACACGAGTTAGCGCGCTTGTTGCAAGAATAAGACCAGGTGACTGGGAAAACCGAGCTGCAGACACTGACGCTGTGAGAGGAAGTGACGGTGCCACAGGTCCCCTGCTGCACCCGGAGATGCACGTGCGGGGCTGGCGCGAGCGGCTGCCGAGGGCCCAGCCCTTACCTCTTCATGACCTCGTTCTCCACCATTGAACTGTCCACCACGACAACCTGCTCGGGGATCCTGACATCCACAGAAATGAGGCCCAGAGAGAAGAGGGTCAGGGCGGCCACACAGTATCCTCCAGGGCTGTCCAGCGAGAATGCCACCAGGTCACTCGGGGCGTCGTTATTATCCTGGCCTTTGAAGGAAAAGCGATCAGGCTGGTCCCACTTGCCGGCAGCGCGGATCTTGTTGTAGAACTGGAACGACTCTGTGCAGATGGTGCTCGGAAATCGCCAGGTGAAGATCCTGCAGGGACAGAAAGAAGGCAAGGCGTCCTGAGGACGGATGGGATCGGCCACTTCCAGTCACTGTGGCCGAAACCAGCACACCTGCTTTTCTCTTCCATCGCAGATGACGGCGCTACCTTTCAGCCGAGCTGCGTGTCCGCTCCACTCACCTGAGTACCTTCGAGGCAGGGCCATGTGCTTAGCTAACTCTGTGCCCCGTGCTCACTACAAACAGGTGCTGCCATGCTGTGGGAGGTGAATGTACTTTCTGTGATAATAATCCTTGTACCAGGACAGCCCTGAACCCACGCAGAGATGAGAGGACATGTGTGCGCTCCATCTCACTGTCTCCAAAACGCAACCGCAGTCAAGCCCTTGCCTCTACCCAAAGTGTGACTTTCCAAGACTCTGTAACAGCAGAGACAGAGGCACCTAGGAGGTCAGGGAGAGGGACCCAAAGGTCCTCGTCAGTTGCTGACCACCACCCTCGGTCACAGACGAGGACGCTGCAGTCCAAGAAGTGGCTCGTGGTCAAATGGCCTTGTTGGACTCGGGCCCACGTCCTCTGCCTCCCAGGCCATGACTCTTTTTACTATACTAGGATGCTCCCCGGGGAGGCAAAGGGGACTGAGGGTCACTCAGGATAGGCGTTTAGGAAAGGAGCGAGTGTCTGATGTCACAGGCAGAGAGATGAAGACAAGAAACAAAACAGCACTCGTTTTGTCATTGCTGTTTCTGAAAGCGGCCTCTGTGCCGATCTGAGGACTGGTCAGGAGACCAGCGTGGGAAGGGGAGCCCAGCAAGGGAAGGGCTGCCACGGAGAACCCCTGGGCCTACTCTGACGAACTCCCTGTGTGGTTCAGGGGGCTGGGAGTGCAGGACGCCGTGCCTGTGGCTGGCGTGAGGCCACATTGGAAGCTGAGGGGCACTCCGTCATGGGGCCCCCGGAAGGCGGTTCTCGCCAGTCCACACCCACTCGGGTCGCCACTGTGCCACAAACTGAGTTAAGATGCTTGAAGGCTCCAGGAGGAAGCATGTGAGCCTGAGAGATGGGCAGCTTGGTGCAGGTCTCATGTGAGAAGGAGGCATGGAGGTGATGCCCACCAGAAGGGTGCACTTTTAACTAGACCAATTATTAAATTAGAAAGTCATCTTACCCAGTTTAATAGGAGAAAGGAAAACAAGCTACTTACAAAACTGGCAAATGCGCCAACACAAAATACGGCGAGTGTTAACCTGAGGCCCACATGAGGAAGGACAGGTGTGAGTGAGAAAGCTCCCAGAGGCCACATCTCGTACACGAGGCCACAGGAGGCCCTGCTGCCACACTCTCTGATGAAGATGCTTGTCCCGTTACTGCCACTCACGCGTGCCCCCCTGGCTCCGCCTCTGACTTGGGGCTCCTGAGCAGGTGCTCACCTGTAGTAGGTCTGGGACAGCTGGTAGGACATTGGCACGAAGGGCAGAGCCCGGTTTTTCTTTGGGCCCAGTGAGTGGTTGATCCGGCGCCGATTGACCAAGCTCCTTTTCTGGCACTCTATGAAGGCCTTGACGAGAAT